GGACAGGTCCCTGCCTTCCTGGAGTGGAAGCCACACTACTTGCATTCAGTTACAGTGACATCCTATTGTCCATCACTCAGGGTATGTCCTAGATGATTATTTGGGACCGGGTACTCGTGGCTTACTCCTGTCATCCTAGCTGTTCAGGAGCCTGAGACCTGACATTACAGTTCTCTTAGCCCCAGTTAACCAGTAAAAAACAAAAGTGGAGGTGTGGTTCAAGTGGAAGAGCACCAGCTTTGAGTAAAAAAAGCCAAGAGAAAGCATGAGGTCCTGAGTTTAAGCCCCAGAACATCCCCCCCCCACACACACACATTATTTGGGGATTCCCAGGAAATATGTAGGTCTGTAGGTACTGGTGGCTCATGCCTGTAATCCTACCCAAGAGGCTAAGAACTGGGCACCAGTGACTCACACCTGTCATCCTAGCTACTCAGGAGGCTGAGATCCGAGGATCATAGTTCAAAGCCAGCCCAGGCAGGAAAGTCCATGAGACTCTTATCTCCAATAAACTAGAAAACCAGAAGTGGTGCTGTGGCTCAAGCAATAGAGCGCTCGCTTTAAGCTGAAGAGCTGAGGGACAGTGCCCAAGCCCAGAGTTCAAGACCCACCACCAAAAAAAAAAAAAAAAGAGGCTGAGATCTGAGATTGCAGTTTAAAACCAGCCAGGGCAGAAAAGTCCATGACACTCTCATCTCTAGTTAACCACTAGAAAACCAGAAGTGGCACTAGCCTTGAGCAAAGAGCTCAGAGACAGAACCCCAGCCCTGAGTTCAAGCCCCACAACTGACAAAAATAAATAAGTAGATTTAAGATTGAACAATGCATGAGATTGCTACTTCTGCTGACTCAACTCCATCACGTAACCCCCACCAAGACAGGCCAGGCTTTCTCACACTAGACTCACACTTTGTCTTAGCTGCTGTTAGAAATATCTCAAGTAAGGAGGAATTCTCTGAAGGAAAATTCATTTCCCCAGATTCCAACACCACTTGGAAAATCTTTGCCATACAGACAAGCTGGATTTCCCAAGGCAGTCCAACAGTGGCAGACAGGAGCGCGCGCACACACACACACACACACACACACACACACACACACACAGACTGGGATGGGTATCAGAGGAAGTACAAGCCTGATCTGTGACTGTCATTGGAGGAAACAGGCACAGAAAGCAGAAAGTGACACCAACATAATCCATAATTACCCAAAGTGTGCTTGCTGAATTAGCAGAAGACCCTTTCCTTTCCTCTTGCCTACACTGTTTGCCAGGCAGGTGCAGGGCCGCTCAGGCCTTCAGCCCCTCGGGTCGTACTTTATGCCTGGGTTGGCCTGAGCTGAGGTTCTCTGCAGGATGACAGCCATACTCCACTGCACCTCGGCTAACACGCACAGAGCCTCGCTAACCAGGGATCTCTACCTCCCAAGTAGCTAGGACTACAGGCTTGAGCCACTGTGCATTCTGTTTTTCTATTTGTCTCCTCCTCCTCTTTCTGCATGAGGGCTCATGCTTGTATGCATGTGTGCACACACACGCACACACACTCTGGTGCTGCTTAAATATAGGGACAGGGCCCAGGCCCAGAGTTCAGGCCCCACAACCGAAAAACAACAAAAAAGCCCCCAGGCATGGGATGGTCTCCAGGCACCATTGCACACAGGGGCTCTGGGACCCAGGCTGTTTCCACTTTGTAACTCTGTCCCTTCCACCTGTGGTGTCATGGTTGCCAGAGAAGGGACACCGCACGAGGCCATATGGCTTGGATGGTGCACGTCACCTCTGCCTTCTACTGACAACAGCTGACCCCATGCCTTCCTGCTGCTGGACAGTGGGTGGACCGAGACTAGGGTGCGTGAGGGGTCCGTGTCTCTTCTCCACCCTTGTTTTCAGCTATGTTTAGAAACTGGGTATGTCTACATGCTGATACCACTGAGAAAAACAGAAAGCTGGGGCTTCCAGCAAGACGGCTGGTCCAGCTAAGCAATGCTCCGCAATTATAAATGCGCTGGGTCCTCCTTCTGTTTAGGGGCCTCCCACTTGCCAGGCGGGCACTTTACCACTTGAACCACACCTTGGCCTCCCCTGCTTACTTTGCAGATTAGGTCTTGTGAATTTGCTTGGATTTTGGTCCTCCCGTGTCCCATGGCTTCCCAAATCACTGGACCATACGCACAAGCCCTCAAACACAGCCTTTTTATTTTTTGTCAGTTGTGAGGTGTGAACTCAGGGCCTGGGTGCTACTTTGAGGTTTTTTGCTCATGGCTAGTGCTCACCACTTTGAGCCACAGCACCACTTCCGGTTTTCTGGTGATTAATTAGAGATGTCTTGCAGACTTTCGTGACTGGGCTGGCTTTGAACCGAGATCCTCAGACTTCAGCCTCCTGAGTAGCTAGGATGACAGGCGTGAGCCACCGGTGCCTGGCTCAAGTGCAGCTTTTGATTGAGGTAGATATAACTTTTTGCCAGGACTGGCCTCAAATCGTGATTCTTCTGACTTGTGCGTAGCTGGGATTATGAGTGTTTTTGAGGGCACTTGAGTCTTAACACGGTGGGATGGCTGCAGAGCCTGAGGAGCTTGATTACGTAAAACCACAAAAGGCTGAGCATTCTGTCTCACCCTGCCTCCCTGGTACTGTGATTTGACTACCCATCCAGGGGCCTCTTTCTTAGTTGCAGGCTTATGGACACCATTAGGACAGACATCTAGCAGTCTCCTCCTGGTCCCCCAAACACCCTGCTCCCTACTGTGCGTGCCTTCTGTCCCGCCCACAGAAGCTCAGATTTCCCTGCAAACACAACGAGGAAGGAGGGAACTGGGTTTTCTGAGTTGAGACTGCATTTCCCCACGGCTTGCACCTCCAGGCAGGATGAAGTGTTCTTCTGTTGCTGCAAATCCCTTCTTGCTGAGTGTAATTTGTTTTTGCCACGTCCCACGCTACTTGCCTCAAGGAGCCGGAATAGCCATTTTCTAACAGACACCTGGGCGTTTGGGCGGGAAGAGGCAGGGTGAGGTCTTTCCCAACCAGATCCGGCCTCACCCAAGCCCCGCTCTGCCCCGTGGCTCCTCGGACCTGGCTCCCCCTGCTCTGCCCCAGCCTGCTCCTAAATGTGTCCCAACGCACGGGAGGCATTTCCGCTGAGTGGGAGGTGGTGCCTGGTGGCTCCTGAGGGTCACAGCTCCAGGGCTTCCTTCCGCCTCACTGGACTCTCGGAACTGGCTGGAAGGACCCTTCACAAGCCACGCGGAGACCAGAGCAAGCGCACACGCACACATGCATGCACGCACGCATGCAGCAGCAGCCTGTGCCAAGCGGCCGGGCCCCTGGGTGTGGCTCTCGCTGCCTTTTAAGAGTCCAGAGCCGCCAAGGTGGTCAATATCCCCAGGTGCCCTGCTAATACCCAGGGTGAGGGGTCTCTGGGAGGCTGGGAGGGGCTCTGCAGAAGCACCAGGCGCTGCACAGGTGTCCGCCCTCCAACAGCGGCACGGGCGGGGGGGGGGGAGGGGGTCTGCCGGAAACCACACCCGGCCCTGAAGAGAGCGTGTCCCAAAAGCCCAGCCTTGCAGCACCCTGCAGGCCCAGCAGGTGGCGCTGCAGCAGCACTCTTCCCACAGCTTTAGGGCAGGAACCGGCGGGGTGAGCGGCCTGCCTCCTGGGGCGCCCATGCGGCCTGCCCTCCTGCAGGGCCCAGACGCAGCTCGGGAAAAGGCTGTCTGCCAGCAGAGGGGCCCTGGGGCTGAGGGCAGGAGACAGGGTTGAGCTCCTGTCCTGGGATGTGCGCTGGCCCAGAGCAAGGCCAGGCAGCAGGAGAAGCAGCCTAGCCCCTAGCATCTGCACGCAGCCACAGGGCTCGTGATGGGCTCTGGGGCAGGCAGCCCACCGCTCCAGGCACTTCCTCGGGCCATGGCCAGCCACAGGGACGGGCTCTCAGCCCAGCCTGGGTGGGTGAGCCCTCCCGGGTCCCTCCCGGAGCCTTGTGCTCTGAGCCGCTGCCTGTCTTCACCCGGGGTTCTGTTTCACCAGGATCTGGAGGGGTCACCGCGCACCGCCCCAGCCGGAGCTTCTACCCAGGCCTGTGAGCATCAGAGCACGCAGTGTCCGTGTCTCAGCCACACACACAGGCAGTGCCACTCCACACGCCTCTGCCTGTGGTCAGACCCAACGCCGGCGGGCAGCTGGAACTGGATCTGGGGCCGGCACTGTGCCTGTGCATTAGCCTCCGAGCCGGGATCTCCTCCAGGCCGTTGCCTCCGTCTGTGCCTGGGACCCTGCAGAAGCTCCCTCTCAAGGGCACCTGTGGCGACTCAGCAGGTTCCCCTCTTCTGACATAGGACACCCAGAGCCCCGGGGGCGGGTGCACGGGCAGCCAGGGTGTCCCCTCCCCGGCCCCCCTGGCCAGGGCTGCTTCTCCTGCAGGCACCCTGCTCCAGCGCTGCCCCAGCCAGCTGACCATACCTGACCAGAGCGGCCGATGGCCACCAGGAAGCCACCTCCGGGCTGATGTTCTGCAGTGGCGGGGCTGGCAGACCCGCCCGGGAGGCTTCCCACGGGGAGGGCTGTCCCCAGAGCAAGTGTGACAAGGCTGTCTGTCTGTCCCCACTGAGGGCGCAGGCCAGCAGGATGCAGCCCTGCCCTGAGCTCCCTGAGCTCGGTGCCGTCTCAGGAGGTGAGAGGGCAGCAGACAGGGCTCAGCTGGGATGTGAGGCCCGGCTCCACCTGTCCCCGGAGCCCTGAGCCCACTGTGGAGGACGGGGAGGGGGCATCTGCTTTCCGTCTCCTCCACCTCACACCCTCCCTTGGGCCTGGAAGGCCCAGCCACAGAGAGCACCATTTCCTGCAGGCCACAGTGTGTCTGGTCACAAGCTTCTCCCATCCTGGAGTGCATCTGCAGACACCACACACACAGGGTGCCATGAGTTCTCAAACGCAGCAATGATGAGACACGGGGGCTGAGGAGACCAGACCCGACCAGACCCACCCGGCCCCGGGTCTCCGCACACAGACATCTGAGCAGCAGGGGCTCCAAGGGCTCCAGGTCAGGGTCTGGATGACTTGGGACAAGCTGTCCCCCGGTCCTGGTACTCCTCGGGCCCTGGTCTCATCAGCTCTCCAATCCGGAGGTCCTTCAGTTGTACCAGGTACTCCAGCTTCACCACCTTCATCTGCAAAAGCTTCAAAATCCACACAAGTTGGACACACGGAGTCTGCCTGAAGTGTCTGTCTGCCAGAGCCAGACCCCAAGGCAGCTCAGGCCTCCAGGACCGCGTCCAGCCCGCTGGAGGCAGGCCCAAAGGCGCTGAAGGGGAATGAGCCGGGGACTCCTGCAGGACCTGCCCCCGGGGCAGGGGCCAGGGCAGGAGGAGCCCACTGCGTGAGCAGCACCCAGGCCTCGTGGGTGCCTGGTGTCCAGTGCACTCACATCAGGGGGCCCCAGCACTGCAGAAAGAGCCTCCCCCGGGGCCCAGCCTGGGCTGCAGCAGCCACAGGAGGGTCAGCTTAAGAAGACCTCACCCCCAGCCCTCCCAGGAGCACAACCTCCCACGTTCCCCAGGCTAGCAGGTGTCGAAAGAGCTGGATTAGGAGAGGCTGTCTGCCAAAAAGCCGTGCCATACCAAGGCCAGCAGCGTGTCCGGGTCAGGGCGGGGTGTGTGTGTGTGTGATCAGCAACGTGCTGAGATGGGGGGTGATCAGCAGCGTGCCCGGGTCAGGGCGGGGTGTGTGTGTGTGTGCGTGCGTGTGTGATCAGCAACGTGCTGAGATGGGGGGGGGG